ATATTTTAAAAATAGGCATAAAGAATTACATACTTCTTATGTTTACACGTAAGTCCAAAAATCTCACCACATACAACCTTGAAGCAGGACAGTCCAACAATATTCCTTTTCCTGTCTCTTGCTTTCATTCACCACCCCCTACTTTTTGAACAAGCATCTACCCGAGAGACATCATAGCAGCAACTGGCATGTCATGACAAGCAGCCCATATTCAGAAGACCAGAATGACAGGCTCTCTATGGTACATTTTAGAAGAAATGATCATTTTCATTTTCAGCAGTATTAATTCTTCCTTTATAGCAGAGATTGGCAAACTATGGCCTCACATCTGTTTTATGAAATTAAGTTTTGCAGGGAATACAGCTTGGTGGCACAGCACCTGCCCGGCAAGGTAAGTCCTGAATTCAGATTCCCCTTGCCAAAATAAATAAATAGATTTTTATTAGAACATAGTCACAGCCATTAACTTATATTTTCTTTATGGAAAACTAGAAGAGTTGAGTAGCAGCAACAGAGAGCATATGGTCCAAAAAGCTAAAAATATTTAATAACTGGTCCCCTATGGGAAAAGTATGCAGAGTCCTCTATATAAGCATGGTATATTTCCCCATAAATATAGATGTTTTTATATTTCTCCTCATAAAGTTTTGGCTATACTGAATATCAAATTTATTATTTGCTATTGCTGTAAATGTTAATAATTAAATTTTCTAGTTGTTTCTGGGCAGTATATAGAAAATAACAGATTTTTGGATATCATTCTATCTATTCCTCTTTCCAAACTTTCTTATTATTTGTAATAACTTACAGATTTTTGACCTATACAATCACATTTTCTGCAATACTGACAACTTTATTTTCTTCTTCCCAATCTTTCTGCTTCTTTGTTTCTTGACTTTAGATACTGATTACTCCTAACTCAATGTTGAACACAAGAGAGTTAAATATCTGTGTCTCACTTTTAAAAGGAATGATTTCAGTGTGTGTCTCTTTAGGGTCACATTTGTTTTAGGTTATTTATCATTCATAAGTTGAAGAATTTTCTAATATTAGAAGTTTTAAACATCCATATTGATTTTTATCAATATTCTCTTTTTAATAATTAAAAAATTTGGGGCTGGGGAGATGGCTCAGTGGAATAAGCGCTTCCCTGGCAAGCGCAAGGGACTGAGTTCAATCCCTGGTTCCACAAAAAAAAAAAAAAAAAAAAAAATTAAGAAACTTATTAGTATATTTTTGTAGCACATAATGATTAAATGTTTATGCTTTACCACATAAACATTTAATTCTCAATTCTACTTCCTACTTCAACACAAACAACTCAATTCTCTCTACTTCCTTTTCTCCTTGCTTCCCTCCCCTTGTGGTTCACTTCCCATTTTCAAAAGATGGGTTTGCTATCATTTATCTTTTATTTTGTTCTTTAAATTATTTATACTCTGGGTTTTTCATATAAGAGGAGCCATGTGATGTTTATGCTTGTGGGTTTGATTTCTTTCACTTAGCATTATTATCTAAGGTACATCTGTTTGTCTTTTAAAGTGATTGGCTTTATGAGATTTTCCTCATATTAAAAAAAGAGTCATTCCAAAACTCAACATGGTCAAAACGTATTTTAAAAAATATGCGGTTGGGTTCTATTTAATAATGTTTTAGTCAAGTTTTTTTCTACATTCCTAAATGACGCTAGTGTGTGATTTTTCTTTTCTTTTATCATCACTCTTTTAGAATCAGAGATGTTGGCCACATAGAATGAATATAGTGTGTTCTTTTTTGAATATATAGAACAGATAACCCTTCTTTAAAGTTTGATAGAACCTGTTTATTAAAATACATAGACATTACAACTCTTGTTGCATAGGTCTTGCTTTATCTTGTCTTAACCATCCAGCAGAAAAGTATAAAAACGAAGTATAAGAAGTAAAGCCATGCTGTTATGTTGAGCTGTAAGGGACTCAGGCCAACAACTTCTGACATTGCCCGTGAAGCGGAAGACCCAATACTATTATGGACTACTGGACTCTTTTAGAATATTTTGCTGAGTTGACACACCTAAAATATTCAAATAACGGAACTAAACAAAAGAGGGGGATATAGATGAATGTCAATTTTGTATCTATGTATTCAAAATGGCTAGGATAGATATATAGTTACATTCTGTTAATGAATAGAGGGATTTGTTCTAATAGTGTTTGTAAATAGGCCATCATGTCCTCATCTTGTACAGCAATTAACCACTAGGGAGAATGTATGCAATGTATAATTATTGAAACTGTCCTACCAATTTGGTTTGAAACTGTCTCATTGCTATTTGTTTCTCAACAAAATTATGGGGAAAAACAAAAATAAAAACAACAAAAAAGAAATTTCCCCAGAAAAACAAAAAAAAATTTTAAGTATATATGCTAGTTTGACAAACATGAAATGATATTTATTGTTGGGTTTTGTTTCATTTATATTTTTAATAAAGCAGTGGTATAATTTTTGAATTAAAAAATAAATAAAATATATAGACATTATATGTTTTGTGATAGATTTTTAGTTACTGCTGCTATTTGTTGAAAAGTTACAGGTATTTTAGCTTACCCTCCCTTCTTTTACCAGTTCCTATACTCCATATCTTCCCAGGTATTTATCCAAATTGTAGGTATATCTTTTTGATGACATTCAATTAGCTTTTAAATACCAAAATTATCTATAGTCTTGTGACACTGTACTTTTTTTTAATCTTTCCTTTTTTTAAGACATGATCTTCTTATGTAGCCCCAGTTGTTCTCAAATGCACAATCCTCCTGTTTCAGCTTCCTGAATAACTGGAACTACAGAGATTATAGGCATCTATCACTACCCTGGTTTTCTTCATTAATCTTGCCACAGATTTATCAACTTCTTATTGTCATAGTCTTTTTTTATCAAAGAGCATTTTCTTTACTAAGCTTCTGTCTACACAATGGCGATTAGTTAGCAATCAAAAAGAAAGATGAAATGCAATAAGGAGCAATTTACAGATGAATCTTAGTGTCATGCTATAAGAGAAAAAGTAAGTCCCCATGTTTTTTAACTATGGATACCTAAGGATATAGAATTTCATATTATGACAAAGTAGAAACAAGCAACACAAACCCTGAAGACATCAAGTTTTGTTTTTATATATAGTTGTAAAACTCTTATTCAACTTTGAAAACTTTCGATCCATAAGAATGAAAAGACTATGTTTCTCTGTGATTGGTTAAAGTAAACCTGAGACTGGTTTAAGTTATTGCTGATGGTGACTTAACAGACCCAAGAGGACAAAATGATGGCTATAACCACTGAGGTTACAAACATCTGAGTAGGTCACTTCAGCTCTGTACTCTCAGTCTTCTGTTTTATAAAGTGATAGTTTGTAATAGGCACCATCCTGCTGGTGGCTCTTCCTTCATGGGCTGGCATCCACCGGAACTTTTCTAATGCACCATCCAAAGCCTGTGGAGTCTCCACTCCTATGTGATGGAGTTCTACCCCCACTCCCAAACAGTTTGTGTACCTCCTCTGGGAACTCTCTTGTCTTCTCCAGGAAGAGATCGTTCTTGTGGACCTGGAATGGCTGGGTCATCTTGTTTATCAAAACAGTGTCTGATTATCCTGCATTCACCATTTAATTAAATGTAGGGTTACAATTCAACTCCAGACTGGACAAACATTTTCACTATCTGTGAAGTTTTCTTTGAAGGAGGTGGCATAGGACAGAGGTAGGTTTCTCTGGTTTTTTTTTTCTTGCCTACAATTTCTCTAAAAATTATTGGTATCAGTTTGATTCTTGAAACTCATTAAATTGCTGAGTTCTATCGATGATTAGCAACACTAGTCGGCTAAATGATTTAAACTTTCCCATCAGTACAACAATTACAAGATTAAATGGTTACTATGAGCCCAAAAAGAAAATTTCCCATTATGGACAATATTTTTATATTAGTTTAAGAAAGTGTCTACTATATTTCAGCTTCTAAACCAAAGGGATTAAAAGAAAATATAATTTTGGCATGGGTAATATTTCAGCTATATGAAAACTTCTATTTTTAATATGAATGTGAATATATACATACATATATATACATATATATATATATATTTTTTTTTTTTTAAATACCAAAATCTAAACTCAAATCTTCAGGGAATAAATCAATTTCATATTTATATAGATTCTAGAAAATGTTAGTAATATGTAGGTGGCAAATGATAGAAACAGCTCACAGCTTTAAACAGCTAACAGCTTTAAAATATTGTTAGGTTTTTTAAAAAAATGTATTTGGTACAGGTCTCTTACTGCACAGCTTGGACTCTTACTGATCCTCCTGTTTTCAGCTTCCCCACTGCTGGGACTACTGGCACAGGCCACCACACCTGGACTTGGTCTTGGGTTCTATGCCTGAGGGCGGTGCTGGTGGCATGTAATACCAGGAATTGAATGCACTATATTTTTTAATCAGTGATTTTATCCTATTTTTGCATAGATGTCTGTAGGGTGAAAGCCAAGGAGGAATGCCAGTATATAAAACTATAATCTTGAGGGCAAGAAAGAAAGTGAAATTTAAGAACATTAAAATGAGAAATGTATTTACAATTGATGTGGTCAATGAATCTTAAAAAGAGCTAGTAATAAAGTTCAAACAAATGTATCATTCGTTGAAACAAATAATGCTGAGGAAAAATGGCTAAGACCTTCTCTCTTGCTGTCACACTCCCTATCAGGAAGTCAGTAATCGCTAGTGCTGTCGGGCGCGCGCGCGCGCGCGCGCGCGTGTTTGTGTGTGTAGGGATGGTGAGGGGCTCTCAACTATAGCTTGGCAGGTTGCAGTGTTAGTATTTAAACAATATTTAGGGTTTTAAAATGCCCGACACATTCCAAGGCCTAGGAAAAGAAGGCAAAGGAGGCCAACACTTTTGAGCCAAGTTGAAGTGTGAGTTGGGAACCTCCTATGCCTTAGGCTTTAATAAGGACATACCACACAGGTCTGTACCTGCTTCTCCGCTTGTTTCAGCAGCTTCTGGAATCTCTCATCCTCTAGCACACCCAGGGGAAGGTCAGTCTCTCCCTGAGTTTTCAGCTCCTCCAGCTTTTGCCTCAAGTCCCTCAGGGCCTGCAGCTCATCGTTGAGGCGGCTCTGGTGGGTTAGAGAGGCCTGAAGGTCCAGTTCCAGGTCTAGAGATGTGCGTACTGGACATTCCTGGGCTGTTCTTCTGAGGACTGGCTGGCAGACTGTCTGCAGAGTTGGAAAACACAACACATCACTCTGTTATACGGACAGTCATTACTCTGCCCCTTTCCTCCCTGGCACAATAGGACTGCCCTTCACTGCCCCCTGGACTGAGTGTCTAACTCGCCAAGTGACTTGCTTTGGCAAGGCAAAGGGAGCAGAGCAGAAGGAGTATGCATTATTTCCAGGAGGAAGCCTGCAAAGTCAGAGTGAGATCTGTACAACTGTGTCTCCTGCTAGACAGATGGCAAGAGCCAGAGAAAGACTCTATGGCAGCCAGGGCCCCATGAGAACAACATGAGCAGGCATCAGCCAACCTTCCATGACAAATAGCTCAGCAAGAGATATACTTAATCATTTCAACCACAGAGATTTTTATAAAGTTATTACCTTCCCTACCATAGCCTAGCTTAGCCTGCTATGTCTGAAAAATAAGCATGTCACAAAAAAACTTACATGTCCTCTGTTTCAGGACACAGAACTATCCCCGCAGATAATCCCTTTGTAGGACCTCCATGAATGCTGGCCACAACGCAGCTGGTTGATAGGACTAAGAATTTGCCTCCCTCCTCCAGTCACTGTCTACATTCCAATTCTTCCTTGATTTCCCATTAGGTACCATCTCCTTTTACTACTGAATTATTACTGTTGTTCTGTTCTCTCCCTGGGACCAATGTTATCTATTTGTGAAGGAATAATTAGTGAATATGTATGAATAAATGTCTGCTGTGGTTGGTAGTCAGGACACTAGGAAGACAAATAAAGCTCCCACCCCTACCTGGGACTGAACCCAGAACCTTGTGCATGTTTGTGAGGACAGAGGTAGAATAAAAGCACTAAGAGTAAAAGTGTTACAGAAGCCTGGCACCTAAATCTTTAGTGAATATGCAGGCAAGTCCTCCATCACATTTCCAGTCCTAAGACACAATCTTTGATCTTATATCATCTGCCAGACAGTAAGAAAAACTGAATTAATCTCTTAAATGTGACAGGAAGCCAGATCATTCAGAGCTGGATCAGACTCATTTGAGGAAAGGCATTTAGAGGTTCCTAGTAAGAACTGGTCCTGGGTTACATGAGAAAAGAGGGCCTCAAACTTAACGTGTGTTCTACGTTGAAGCTCTAGATCAAAAGTAGTGCTCGTGAGAGATGAAGGAGCACGCCTGTCGGTGCCTTTTCCTGGTATTTCAGGGTCAAAGGTCAAACTGTAATAGCTTTGACTGTCTCCACTTAGGCCCTCTCCTTTTGTCCAACATATTTGTACTGTGTGTTTACTAAAACTAGATGCTTGGCCACCTTCACCTGTGTTAGCAGACCTGCCTTTAAGGCAGCCTGAGCAAGCCAAAAAAAAAAAAAAAAAAAAAAAAAAAGATAAAATTATATGCCTGGCTTCTGTAACATTTTTATTAGGTTTTCTTCTATTAATCTCTCCCCTCTAACAAATAAGAGTTGTCTAGCTTCATATTCACTTTGACTGTATTACTGGTTTTCCAGAATCAAACATCTTCCTCAGGTGGTACCCATCTGGAGCCCTTCTAAGGACTCAAGTGTATACTCGTGTGCTGGTAAATGTTGAACGAAGGCTCTGGGGTGGGGAAGTAATGATCTGTAGGCTTTTATGGTATGAACTGCTTCCCAATTCATGTGATGTCACTCAATTGGGAAGAGTCAGAATGAAGAGTCCAACCCATCACAGCTGAGGTGACCTGACTCTATTATGTACACTCTTGCACCTGGACTTCCTAGTCAGGTAAGTCATTTATAAGTCTTTGCAGACGCTATGTTCTCTTAGACCTCTATGCCATTTTCATGCTGTAATTTCTAAATGAGAATGGTATTCTCATCTCCATCAAACCATATTCACCTCCTTAAAAGTCATTTAAAAATCATCTTTATACAGTATTTCAGGATAAACATCTGTGTGGTTCACATAATACTATAACTATGTTTATAAATAACCTGTTTTCAGGTCTACTCAACTGACAAACACTTCTGGATAAAATTTCTCTGAAGTGTCCTACTGTCCTTGAAAAGCATGTGCTACTTTAGAAGGCTGGTGATTTAGAAAGGAGGTGAGAGGAATTTTCACTCAACATGATGAAAATTTAGGTGCTTTCAAAGTATAAAGGTTGGTTATCTGAAAGATCAACATCTCAGAATTTCTACAAATGCTGAGTACTAAATAGTAATGAGGCACATGAGCCTTTATAAAAACAAAATATTTTTTATTATCTTCAAGTAACTAGTAAGTTAGCCCAAGGAGACAGCTACAGCTAGTACTCTGCACATGGTGGCATGAACCCACAGCAGCGCTGGGGAAGAGGCTAATACCAACTCTCTTTCCAGTCCCCAGTTACCTTCCAACCCACAGCGCCAAGGCGCTGGTATGTGTGAGCACTCCTCATTCACATGTGTTTCCTGGCTACATCACTCCATCCGTCAGCAGCTCCCAGTTACCCACCACTCTCCCACATCACACAACCGTGTCGCAAGGCCATGCCCCCCCCCCCCAATGGAGTCCCTTAGATTCTGCTGCAGAGAAGCTCACTCCCTGACTCCCCAGCTCACGCTGTGTACACCTAAGGCTTCCCTTTAGAGTAGACTCTGGAGGGTGGACACCTGCCCCCTCAGGAGAGCCCAACATGTGCAATTCTCCATGCTTAATAAACATGATTTTAAACCAAAATGACAGTAGTAAACAAGTAACTTTCTTTTAGCCATTAGGAAGTAAACAGAAATTTCTGAACTACTTGAAGAATCTGGCTTTTTCATTCACTTGAATATCAGCTCATACTTAACGTTAACACTCAGCCCCAGGCAACACTGATGGCCCAGGAAAGCTTGACCTGAGCTGGCCCACTCACATTTATTTTAATTTTCTATAGATAACTATCTAGGCAAGGTGAAAAACTGTGTGCCTAAAAACTTAAACAAAAACATGCCAACTCCAAGCTGTAAACTTGGACTTTCTCTGTATAGTGAATTTTTAATTCTAGTTTCATAATCTGGAAATCAGACTGTGGCTTTCGCATGATGTATGTAGTGTCTCATGACTGGAGTTTGCTTTGTTTTATAGTATCTGTACTCCTTGTATTTTTCAAGAGCTATTTTGTAAACAGATGATGTATTTCTCCATTGAAAACACAATAAAAATTTAAAAAAACAAACAAACAAAACAACAAAAAAACCCCATGCCAACAGTTCTGTGCTACTCCTTTGCAGAGTGTCTGCTCCTACAGAGAAGGTACCAGGTACTACCCTCCTCCCCCTACTGCTCCACAGTGAGACACGGCGTGGAGATGTGGCAGCACTGGTATAAAGGAGCCCTTGGGACTCGGTACACCCTTTTTTCTGAAGACACTGAGAACCAACTTCCTGTCTAAATTTTCACATGATCCAAATCAGTGATGAGTGAATGCTTTCAAGCACAAAGAACCTCCCTGGTTCTGTAACTGACGTAACATCTGCATCTCAGTGTGATCACTGTGGCTTCAGTAAACAGCTCCAGAGCATGGAACACTGACACCCAGCAGTTCTGGAATTTATGTTTTGCAATTCTTGAATGTGGATCGACCCAGGGTGGTGCAAAGTGGCTGAGGGAATACGTACCCTTTTGACTCGCAAACTGCGCCGTTCAGTGGAGTTTCTCACAAAGAGTGATTTTTTAGCCAACGTTGAACTGTCACTGTCACTCCGATTTAACTGGTGATAAAAGATTTTTTAAAATTACGCTATAACAAACAGAATGCTGGTAGAAATCAGAATGGAAAAGTTTATCCTCTCCAGAAAAGTTCTTCCTTATTCTTTGGTCTTAATCTTCTTAAATAATTTAAGTAACTGCCTTTTGGTAGCAGGTAGCAAAGTCACAGGTTAAGGTAATTATGTATTCTAAGAAAATAAAATGGTCATTTGTACATTTACAAGTGTCCTTAAAGAAAGATTTACATAATGAACCTAACTCAGGATCCAGAGGCATTATGAAAGAGATGATTTTTTCCTAAAATTTAACTCATTATTTTCAGTTCAGTAAGATTAATCTGGCTTGAAGTATATATCATAGGCAGCAAAAAATAAAACATGTACTTTAAAAACCACTTTATCTTTCTATACATGACTAGAAATTCAAAACTTTTTAGTATGTAGTCCTTGAATCTTGCTTACCTGCCAAATAAGTTGCACTAGAGCCAGTGAGACATTACATTTGTGGGAAAATAAACTAACTAATAGAACCCTAAGAGTGTGACATCCTTCATATATTTTATGGCACTTCTAGCCACTAGTATTTGTAGTCAGCCTGTGCAGCTCCCAGGGCACAGTGTCTGGTCATTAATGGGACACTACCTGGCAGGAAGGGAAGAAGCTGCAATGTCTAGGGCTTCATTAGGAGCACTGTCGCCTCACCCTGCAGATGTACTGGCTCCGCTCTCCTGGAGAAAATGTTTGGGAGCGTACTATCACACTGCTCCTCACGAACGGATGTTGTCGAGAGCTCAGGCTGCTGCGATCTTTGGGGCGAACTGCCATACTGTCACTAACTGTTTCATCAGTATTTGTCTCTTTGTCAACCTACAAGAGAAATTGGCAATTTGTCAGGAGTTGATAGGTGTGTGCACTCTTATACTCCCTTCTTCTAAGTAAGAGGGAAATATTTAATGGTAAACAGTCATTTAGCACCAGCAATGCCTTTCCACTAAAGTCTTAGGAAGGTACCCACAGGAGAAAGAAGATAGCTGTCTGACAAAGTTTCTATAAACCTTTAATAGGTTACATTTAAAAGTGAAAGTTTGGATTTAGAGACACTGTATAAAGAATCCTCTTTGAAAACATATCATCCTTAAATACTATTATGTTTTCTGATTAGTTTTCATCAGAATAAGTGATAAAATAATTAAATGTAAGAAAATGAAAATATACCAAAGTTATAGCTTTAAATGGAATATATAATTATACACATATGAATATAACAACTGTTGTGAAGCTGTGTTTGAATTCTTTCTGAATCACTGGAAATGCAATGAAAATAAAACTTAAGCGAACACAGAAGGGTCTCAAAATATACGCTGGCACAGGCAGATATCTTTTTTTTTTTTTTTTTTTTTTTTGTGGAACTGGGAATTGAACTCAGGCCCTCGTGCTTGCTAGGCAAGCGCTTACTCTACTGAGCTATCTCCCCATCCCCTATTTTCTATCTTCTAAGTGTAATTTGATTTCAGGCCTGCTTTTTAATGAATGTTTGCCTCTTTGCAAAAGAAGTTCTCTGTCAAGAAAGATACATTATTTTCTTAGGAATAATGAACTGGAATTTTCTGAACTCCATTACAGACATTACAAGTGTGCCAGCATCCGCAAAGCTGGAAAAGGACCTTCCCTGTGTGGGGATGGCAGTCTCAACACGTCTCTCACTTCACTAGCACAGCTGCCTGTGTTTTATCACTTGGTTGGCACCTGTGCCTACACCATGTTATTTGCCACCTGCCAGAGAAGATTTCCAGCAGAACACCATCTAATCAAGATAACTTCAAATGTTTACTTTCATGTTTGAAATTGAAATATTTTTGAAACTTGATTCAATTAAGTAGTCATGCTATTATTATCTAGTCCAGAAAATGCTCTTAATTAATATTCACAGAATACTGATAGAGGTCTAACTTAGTTTTCTATTTCTTTTCTGGGTTTCTTTCTTTTTTCCTGGTGCTGGGGATGGAACCCAGTGCTTTGCTCACACTAAACAAGTGTTCTACCACTGAGTTATATATATTCCAAATCCATTATTTCTCTTCTTATAAGAATTACTTAAGTGAGGAATTAATATTATTGGCCCATTTAAAAATTTTAAAGTATTTACAATGCTTCTTAGTGACCATCCCCACAAATGCCTTTCATGACCAGCTTCTAGACCAGAATCCTAATATGAAATTACAGCTAAAGAGACAGCAGCGTCTCCTGGGGCTCATGGTGCCTGTGAGGCATCTACATCAGGGAGACAGCTGGTATTCACCAGGGCAGGTACTCCAGTCGGTAACTCTCTTGGACGGTTCCTGGCGCACTCATCTTCTTTCCTACACCTGTCTTCATTCGTCTCAGGCAAGTCAGTGCACCCATTTAAATCCTCTGTACAGCTACTGTCTTCGGCCAACTTAACTTCAGCCCCCTTTTCAGCCACAATTTCATCAGAGGCCTCTCTCAGCATTGTTAACCTAGTGAAACAACAAAGTACACTGTACGCCAAGCAGGGATACTCCACAAACAGTGCAACCTAGGCGTGTTAGCCTGTTGTCTGAGAAATAAACAATGGACTTATACATAGTCAGGCCATGTTTTGACAGAAACTTTTAACTAGCACATAAGAAGTAAAGTTAAATCTGCAGCAAAATCATAATTTGGGACCAAATTCCCCCTCCCCTCTCCCCCCACTGGGAATCAAACTTGAGACCTTGTGTTTGCCAGGCGGGTGTTTATGTCCCTGAAATAAATCCCTGGCCCTAAAATTTTAATTTATTAAATTTACCTAACTTTCACAGAGTAAAATAAAAATACTCTATGTCATATAAATATTAATCTTGACATTTAAAAATATGAAAACTCCATAAAATACTGGGTACTAGTAATTTGTTATAAAATTAATTACATAACTGAAGGAGGTTACTCTCAGCTAAGAGTGAATAAACACATAATAATTAAAAATACTAATTTCTAAAAAAATAAACTTGTTCCTCATTCTTGGCTGTGCCTATGGACGGACTCTTGGGGACACATGAGCTCATCCTTCCAAACACTATGCCACGACCTGGGTGGCATTGCACAGTGCTCCAGACCTGGAAGACAATTTATACAGAATATATAGAGCAGGAATATTAGGATGGCTTAGAACATCTCCTGCTTTGCTGAGTTTCATATTCTTAGAACAGAAACATTTTTCCACTGACATCTAAATGTTCAGCTTTAAGTGCAACTGGTGATGTACTGGTACTGAGAAGTTAGTGCAGACTAGTTATTCAATATTTAACCATTAGAGGAGCAAAAGGAGGGATCAGCAATGACTACTATGATTTATAAACCAAGTACTGTTTTTAAAATGTGCATATGTTCTATTTTACAAACATGCAAAAGGCTTAGTATTTAGAGATACTATGACAGATATAATCACTCTTATAGTGATTCTGCGCTACTCTGACTCTTATTCACTGTAGCTGACTTTTTATAAGCAGTACCTCTGTATCTTTTAATATCATTATCATAGCTTTTCCTTCCAAATGTCCATAGCTTTTATTGTGTTATTTATGACACACCTTGTCACTGAGTTTCTTCAAAGTTTAATATATTACATACACACATATGCATACTATATGTATATACCATATATATGTACATATATATTGACACTAGTTCAATCAAACCTAACAGTATAAATAATTATGTAAAAGTTAATCTAAATGAGTTTAAACAGTATATATACTTAAAACTGCACCACTCATTTAACTTGTTTTTAAAGAAAACAGTGTAAACTAAAAAAAGATAATTTTTTGCATAGATGGGCAAACATGGAAATCCTTTTGTAAAGGACAGGGTATAGATACAGAGAAGAAAACAGAAAATAAAGAAGGTAAAAGTAGTAATGGATAGAGAAATGGCTATTGAGAAAGTATCTCCCAAATATTTGCTTTGTCTTACCATAGCCTAAATGGCACTCCTGATACTCAAAGTAAAACACAAAATCCAGGCTTTAATTTATCTCACTCTATAATAAACCACTAGTCTTTCAAAACTGATAATATATACTTATAAAAAGACTTTAGAAAATAGTGCTAAAAAATTTACTTAAAGCAAGGAAGCCTGTTGACACAGGCCTATAATTCCAGCACTCTAGAAGACTGAGGCAACGCAATCACAAGTTTGAGCTCAGCCCAGGCAACTTAGTGACTTAGTGTGACATCACCTCAAAATAAAAAATGAGCTAGGATGTGGCACAGTGCAAAGGCTCTAGGTTTACTAAGAAGATAACAATATACAGTGTATTGATTATCAAAACTGTCTTATTAATCAGCTGTGAAATTGTCTCATTCATATTTATTTCTCAATAAAAATAAATAAATAATTTTTTTAAAAAGGCTGTAGCTTTAATCTCAGTACAGGAAAACAAAAAATAAACCCTTGAAGAGTAAAAATTTGGCTAATGTGTTAACTTTGCCCATTGTCTTGACACTGGATTCTCTAGCCATAGCTGCCAAAATCTACATTTTCCCCCCTTTTTTCTCCATATAAAGGTTTCCTTGAAAGTGTCTTAAATAAAGATAAAGGCTTCTCAGGGAATTGCCACGAGTACAAAGAAAATGACTATTCTACCAGTCTCCTTCCAGACACTGATGCTCTTCTTCTGGCCCCGGCTCCTCCTCTTGTGCTAACTCTTGTTCCACAGTTAACAGCTCAGCTGATGTTCTTGCAAGCAGGGCTGACACTGCATCCTGGAGGATGTAAAACACATGGCCGTTAACAATATATACTCCAAGAAATGATTTGAAACTCATCAGAAGTAGATTTATACTTCTAGTTGTGAAGAAGCAGCTTGTAACAGACTCAACTTTCCTGCTGAGAACAAATATGAATACTGAATAAAATGAAACAAAAACAAATCTCCTAGAGTGTGGCATGGTGGTGAATTCCTGTCATCCCAGCACTTGGGAAGCTGAGGTAAAAGGATCACTGTGAGTTCAAGGCCAGCCTGGGCTACAAAGTGAGTTCCAGGCCAGCTTGAATTGCACAGTGAAATCCTGTCTCAAAAAGACAAGCAAGCAAACAAACAAACCCACAAAACTAAACAGCAACAAAAGCAACATTTTGAAACAATGAAGAGTAGGTAACAAAGGCTATCAGGAGCAGAGGGCCAAGAATCCAGGGAGAAGACAAACCCATAAACAGGTTAAAAGACCTTAACTGATTACAGACCTATGCCACAGGACTGGGTTGCTCTAAGTAGTTGTTAAACACCATTTTCTAAACTCTTTTAAAGGGCTATCAATTTTGAAAGATAATGGTAGCATATTATCATCACTGCTACTCTTTCCCCTTCAGGGATTTGTCTGGTCTAAGTGTGAGATGTGCAGGCCAAGCAAGCTGGCTCCCTGGAACTGAGGGTGCAGGATCAGAACAGAATACTATCCATGCCCAAGGCAGGCAGCACACCCATGATCACAGAAAGTGAACTCAGAGCAAACCTAATCTTATCCCTCATATTCCTGCCAAGGCATTTTTCATTCCTAAACTGTGTATGTGGACAGCAAAAATCTGAAAGACAAAAGCAAAGACCAATTGCTAAAATAATAAGCAGATATTTCAGCTGTCTCAAAGGGTCCCAGGGAAAGAAAATTAGCATTCAGGTGCCCTGGGTGATTGGGTAATCCTCCCATATTGTATTTTGCCTTCTAGAAAAGTATTAAATCCTCCCTGGAAGATGGATCAGCAAGAGCTGCCACAATCCCTCAAACACAATAGCCAGCATTCCATCAAGACCTAATGACTGAAAGCCAAAAGAAACAATAGACAAAACAGGCAGATCCACAGGTGATTTGCACACAGCAGGCATTTAAAAAAGGAATCTAAATTTTACAACTCATGAAATGCCAGATAATTTCATTACCATAAACTTAGAGAAAACCCATTAGCATATCAGAATGAAGTTGCTGAAAATAAAAGAGACAAAATCTTAACATTCGGTGAAAGAAAAAAGAATATATTACTTTATAAGAATCAAAAGTCAGCCCATTCTCTATCAACTCAACACAATCAACGGAAATCAAATAACACAATGTTATCTGTGACATGTTCAAAGAAACAGTTCCCCACCCAGAATTCTGAATATGTGGCAAAAGGTGTCCTTCATAAATGAGGCTGAAATAGTCAACAACAGGCTTGTACAGAGAAAAATATTAAAGGAAATTCTTGAGGTAACAGGAAAATGACACACATGGAAGTGCAATGATGCAAAAGGTAATAAAAAACTGAATGTTGATTATAATAAAATAATAATAATGCTTTATGGGACTCATACCATATGTGACTAAAATATATAACAATAATACACAGAAGAAAGAAAGGGAGACGCAGCCCAAGTCCAGGGCTGGCGAGTGTGTGGGAGAGCTTCCACACTCCCCTGAGCCCATTGGACCCCTCTGGACCCAGCCCTGCTCCATGTGTGAATGAGTCCTTCTGTCCTGCTCTCTGGACCCCTCCAGACCCATCCCAGGCCTAGCATACAAGCCTGGTGTGAAACTGCAGCTGAAGTCCCTGCAGAGAGGCTACAGGCCAGAACCACCCAGCTAATCTAGGAGCAGAACATCTTGCCAGAGGGGTACAACAGGTTCACTTCTTGCTGTACACCAGGACTGCAGCAGGAAAAAGCTGAGCACAGCAGCCAGACCCAAGCCAGGCACAATTGGATGAATT